GTAGTCCCAGCTACTTGGGAGGCTGAGGCAAGAGAATCGCTTAAGCCCAGGAGTTGGAGGTTGCTGTAAGTTGTGATGTCACAGCATTCTCCCCAGGGCAGCAGCTTGAGGCTCTGTCTCAAAAAAATTAAAGAAAAAAGAATTTGAAAAAATCCTATATAATAATTTCTTTTAGTTAAAGCCTCAAAATAGGATTGTTCTATATTGTTATATGGCACATGAGATCTAAATTTGCTAAGAAAACTCAGGATACCCTCTGTGGTTATACTCACTATGATTTCTTACAGTAAAAGGATACAAAGTAAATTGAGCAAAGGGAAAATGTTTATGGAATGAAATAAAGAAGAAATCAGGCATACGCTTCTAAGAGTCTCATGGAACCATTCACAATGTACATTTTTTCCAGCATTGAATTGTAACAACAGGTCTGAAATGTCTACCATGGGAGCTCAGGGGAGGTTCAGTGTCCTAGATTTTTTTTTTTTTTTTTTTTTTTTACTATTAGCTGGTCACATAGGCAACCTCTGCCTAGTTTGTACCAAAATTCCAGATGCTCAGAAGGAAAGTAGGTAGTGTAAACCACATAGTACAAATAAGTTAAGCACAGTGAACCACTCTATTTATTTATTTATTTATTTAATTAAATCATAGCTGTGTACATTAATGCAATCATGGGTACAATGTGCTTGTTTTACATACAATTTGAAATACTTTCAGCAAACTGGGGTGAACCACTCTTAACAAGGAATTGTGGAAATCCAGCAAAATCTAAGTTTTTCAGACACCAGTCAAGGACTACCTTTGCATCTTAGTCTATTTGTGCTGCTGTCACAGAATGCCACAGACTGGGTTATTTATATGCAATAGAAACTGATTTCTCAAAATTCACAAGGTTGGGAAGTCCAAGAACAAGGCACAGGCAGTTTGAGTGTTTGGTGTAGACTACTTTCTGCTTCGAAGGTAGCACATTTGCAAGATGGACAAATAGAAAATAACAGACTCTCACCAAAGATTATAGGGAAAGGAATTTTATTAGCCAGAAAGGGGAACTCAGCAGGCCATGAGGTCCCCCTCCCCAGGTCTTTCCCACAACGCTCTTTTATAGTATTCCAGCAAGACATATTTACAGTTACAGAGTTACAGTTACAGATGTTAGGTCATGGGAAATATTTAGTTAGCAGATGGAAAAAGTCATAAAAAAGTTAATGATTATATTACTCAAGAACCCAGAGTGATACTATTTGTTATAGTCTCTTTCAAGGTTATTTTTGTTTAATGTCTCTTTTCAAGTTCTTTCAGTGGCCCCTGTGGATCAGTGGGTAGGGCACCAGCCCTATATACCGAGGGTGGTGAGTTTGAACCCAGCCCCAGCCAAACTGCAACCAAAAATAGCTGTGCTGGGCGGCACCTGTGGCTCAGTGAATAGGGCGCCCATCCCATATACCAAGGGTAGCGGGTTCAAACTGCAACAAAAAATAGGTAGGCATTGTGGCAGGGGCCTGTAGTCCCAGCTACTTGGGAGGCTAAGACAGAAGAACTAGCTGTGACACCATGGCACTCTACCGAGGGTAATGGAGGGAGACTCTGTCTCTAAAAAAAAAATAACTGGGTGTCGTGGTGGGTGCTTGTAGTCCCAGCTACTTGGGAGGCTGAGGTAAGAGAATCTCCTAAGCCCAGGAGTTGGAGGTTGCTGTGAGCTGTGACGCCACAGCAGTGTACTGAGGGCAATAAAGTGAGACTCTATCTCTAAAAATAAATAAATAATAAAGTTCTTATCTTTGGAGCCTAAGTAGTTCTTCTGCAGTTGTTCTGCTGCATTCTCAGGACCACCGTGAAGTGTTAAGATTTATTTCTCCTTCTTCATTTCCCACTTTGAGACCCTATTAGTCATTCCACTCATCATCTATATCTATGGCTACTTGATGATAACACTGAGTCATGAACACTTTGCCTGCGTTTTCTTTGATCACAACTGTAAAGACTATGCTTTTGAGAAATTAACAGGCATAGGTAATAGGCAAGGCAAAAGTAAACATCCTTCAATTATAAAGAAAAAACTTATAGTTTTGAATTGTCCTAATTTAGAAAGCCATCCATTGAATAAAGAATCTGGGTTAAATCTATTCCACATTTGTACAGGTACATGAACTATTTTAGTCATTTTCTTAGTTATATCTCCAATTACTTACCCTTCATCTAATGATCTGTAAGCAATAGTTAGTTAAATTGAATTTTCCACATACTTCTCTTTCAGTTGCCATAAGGCAGTCTAGGGATAATCAATTTTGG